AACATTATAGTCATTAAGGCTACAATTATCATTTAACAACATATATAAAAGTTCTCAGTTATAAATACTTCCCACATTACTTAACAACAATCAACAATAGCTATAGCTATACATAAACTCGCAATATCATTCGGCTCTAACCAAGTATGATTTTAGCTATACATGCTTCCTTTATCTGTTAGCAATGACCCTTAATAAATTTAATGGTATAAGTTAACTACATATAACAATGATCTACCAAGGTTCTCAATTATATAATCTTATTTATCTACACAGAAATAATCCGTTATAAGTCTCAGCTAAACTAGCTTATTACCCCATACATCAATAATTTGTTGTAAATCTCAAATGTACGAACTTATTATTCCATACAATAGTAGTATGTTATAAATCTCCATTTTACTAGCTTATACCATACAACAGTACTTTGTTGTAAAATCTCAAATATATCAGCATATTAACTATTAAAACATCAATCAACAATAACCATCAAATTTTGACATAGCACAATAATAAACACATATCTAAATATCAATTATTTAGGAGAAAAATATGGGTACTCGCCTTGTAATGTTTTATCGATATGGAATTCCAACTCTTAAAATCTCGTATCTGCTCTCATTTCAAAAATGACAAAATAACACACTAACTTGAGTATTGCAACTCAAGATACAACTCACTTATGCATAAACATGACTCAACACCTTCATTAAGTTCATGGCATTCAATTACATGGTTAAATTAACTATGTTCCATAAATTACTTGCATACATGTCTTAATTCCTCAAGACACGAGCTTAATTTCTCCTTATTCATCATTACCAACTTGAGTGTCATAGCTTAAGGTACAAGTGATTTATGCATGACTTAATTTCTTCATCAAAACCAATTATACTTCATGAATAAGTCAACTATACGTCTTAATACATTAAAATATAAGTCTAATTTCACTTATTTTACAGTTTGGCTTATAACTCTTAAAAACATGTTTACCAAACATACTACAATTATTATCAAGTTTCCTATCATAATAAGCATACATGAGCTAGGTTCTACACCTTTTCCAAATTCACCATGAGCATTATACTTCAAATAAGCCAATTATATGTCTTAATACATTAAAATATAAGCTCAATTTCACTTATTTTACAAGTTACAAAAACTAGGGTTTGAGTTTATTTTCTCTCGTTTAAGAACTAGCCATGAATTTGGCTTATAAATATTAAAAACATGTTTACCAAACATACACCATTATTATCAAGTTTTCCTTTCATAATAAGCATACATGAGTTAGGTTCTACCATGATAGTGCCATATTTATACACATTTCTAGGCATTATTTTAATACATTTTAAGTTATAATTTGGTTAATTGCAAAGATATTTGGTACTTATAATGTTTAAATTGTATTTTGCAGCCAAAAATGAACATTCTCGAAGAAAAGGACTGATAACAACAAAATCTGAATATTTGAAGGAAGAGGAGCTGAAAAAGATACAAAAAGATGTTGTTTGACAGCTTGACCCCTCGTCGGTATTTTGTCCATATCTCATGACTCGTAACCCCAATTAAGGTGATTCAAAATGATCTGAAAACTAGAAAAAATTTCAGACGAGTTTCTTTTTGTACCAAAATGTGAAATCCAACTCCCACGACGTGGTGTTCACCACCACGATGTGGTAACTAGAAACCTCACGATCATTAAGCTGACTTGGAGAATACGACATTTAACAGAAGACCACGTCGTGGTGCATATTCACCATGTCGCGGTGGCCATAATTTGGCAAGTATATATATTACGTATATTAGGTCGTTTCTAGGAGGGAGAGGCGTTAGGGCTGCAATTATTCATGAGGAAAAACCCTTCCAAGAACCCTTGGAGGGCAGGATTCGATTAAAGATCAAAGGATAAAGAGATTTGAGCAAGGATTCGTATCTACACATTCGGTTTGTTTAGTTTAATGATGTTTAGCTTGGTTTACCTTTTGTTTTTGTGTTTTTCAGTTGTAGGTATAAAAACCCTTTCTTTCGTTTAGATCAGATGAACTCTTAATTACTATATGTTGATTTCTTGTTTGATGGATTGATGAAGTTAGTTTTAGCTTTAAATATTGTTTGATAAATCTTAACCTAACATATTAAAGTTTCTATCTTTATTGCCTTGTCTCAAGATTGTGTAGTTAAACTGCAGTTAATTGCATGAAATTGATTTACCTAGCTATTTATGATCATTAAATTGTTAGAGCTAGAGATTAGTCATATCCTAGTATAGGTGATAAGTTAGTTCCTTAACTATGTTATAGAGCAGTATTTGATTATAATATTTGTTTGATTACTAGACTTGACTAAAGAATAGTAGTCTTTAGATTCTATTATTCAGAGTCTAAATTACATTTAAAATCAACTAAGTGTACTTAACTTACATGATCATTGGGGTTAAAGTTATTGAATTGACTTATGCTAGTTAGTCTGCTCATGATGACTAGTAACTTTTATTTGGTAACTAACAGAATTAATTTATTGTCTTGAAATCAACCATAGGAAATAGGAGGGATTCGGAGCTAAACGAAAGTATCCTTAATTCTTGATTTAAAATCGTCTTTCTAGTTGTTTACTTTAGTAATTAGTTGAGTATTTTAATTAAGTTTATCTGAACATGTAAAATCAGATAAAACCCCCTACTTCTAGTTGTTTTTCTAGTTTAATTAGAAATAGTTATATTAATTAATTAAATTCTGTTCCATGTGTTCGACACCCGACTTACCCAAGCTATTCTATAATCTGACTAGGTACATTGTCTATAAGTGCATAGTTAGTTAAGTTTTGTTAGGTTATAAATTTAAAAGTTGATAGGTATACTTTATGCACATCATACCACCTTTCCAAATTCACCATAAAGATATCAACTTGAGTTAGTAAAAGGATGAGCTCACCTTTAATCCAAGTAGTAGAGATAGCTTTTTGATTCTTTTGATTTTCCCTTGGATTTGATTTCAAACTTGATGCAAAAGAGCTCCGAAAAATCATCTCAAACAAGTTCTTGGAATGAATGTGTGAAATGAGGTAAAAGGGTCGATTTTTGGGGCATTTAAACCCATTTTCTATGGGCCGACCTTGGGACACGGGCCGTACTCGTGTCCTATGAGACACAACCCGTGTCTCACTTAAAGATCAAAGTCTAGGTATTGTGTTACCAGGTTACCCTTTAATTTTCTGATAATGATATTTTAACATACAAAAATGGACTTCATGTTTTTTGAAAAAAAAAAAAAAAAAGATCTTTTAAACAAAAATTGGTTAATTGAGAAGGCTACAATTATTATCAGTATAAAAATTGATCAAAATAACAATCTAAACAAGAAAGGCTACATTTCTATTTTCTAACATTTCACAATTACATGGTGGTTATTATTGCAAAAGGAATATGATCATTTATCATTTTGTTATTCAATAAATGATGTTTTTGTGACCTCTTTCAAAAAAAAATGATGTTTTTGTGATTTACAAACATTAATATGAAAAAAAAACGTGAACAGTTACATTATAATTTTGGAAAAAAAAAGTCAAAAACTAAAAGGTTAAATTTGTTTAACTTCGAACACAATTACCGGCACCGTCCGGTTTCGGGTCAATGACGCGCACGCAGAATAAAAGGCAATCAGCTTTGGTACAAGTGGGAAATTCCAGACTAACAACCGGAACAACCGGTTTTCTTGAGGAGATTCAATGAATGTACGCAACAGTGTGTGTGTTTAGGGGGAGGTGTCTGTAATGTATCTAAAGACTGACTAAACACCTCAGCATGATTTACATGCATCCCCCTTTTGTATATATAATCCACAATCTCTATTTCCACAATAGCACTGCGTGTTCTTCAAACATTCCAAAACTTCATTCCTCTTTCTCTCTATCTTTTTCCTTTTTTGCCCATCTACTGAGTTGTAGAGGGTTTCTTTGTGAATGCAATCGAATCTTGAAGGAGATTTCATCAAGAGCTTCTGTTTTTGGATAATCTTTGTGTGCTTTTTGGTGAAAGATTTGGTGTTTTTGGTGGGTTATTACAAGAAGTTACAAAGATGCCTACTTTGGTTAATTACAGGGGTAAGTTTTTGCTTTATCTTCGTTACGTTCTTGTTAAAAATTTCCTATTTGGGTGTTTTGATTTCTTGAAAAATCTTATGAGTTCTTGATAGTCAGTAGATTTGATTTGTGGGTTATATCGGAAATCTTGAAGCTTTTGGTATCTGGTTGATGAAATCTTCAAATTTTTTGTCTTGTAAATAGGGATTGATGTCATTGACCTAGATTTTACATATGAAGCCATGAATACGAGTTCTTTTTATAGAAAGATTAACCTTTTAGGAAATCGTACTTAGTTTCTTCAGCTTTTGCTAAATCGGAAACGTAGAAATTGCTATTAAAAGTTGTTTTTGATGGATTGCAAAAACTGTTTTCTGATAGATTGCTATTCGAATTTGCAGGTGATGATGATTATCACACCGGCGGATCACTCTGCTCAAAAGATTCACCCCGTTTGCTTTCCGTTTATGGTCCGCCTTGCAAACGCCAACGAATCAGCGATTCATACTTTCTCTTCTTCGAAGAGGATCAAAAGCCATCGATCGAAGTCCTTCCCGACGAATGTCTTTACGAAATCCTCCGGCGTTTGCCCGGCGGCCAATCCCGGAGTGCCTCCGCCTGTGTATCAAAGCGATGGCTCACAGTTCTAAGCAACATCAGAATCTCCGAGATCGATAATGGCTCATCCACCGATGTTGAAATGATCTCACCGGAAAACGACGGATTTCTCACAAGGTGTATAGAAGGAAAGAAGGCTACAGACGGCAGACTTGCCGCCATTGCCGTCGGAACCTCTGGCCGCGGCGGATTAGGCAAGCTTTCGATTAGGGCAACCAACAAAGTAACAAAATCTGGATTCACAGCAATCGCACGTGGTTGCCCTTCGCTTAAAGTTCTTTCGTTATGGAACTTGCCTTCAATCGAGGATGAATCTTTAATCGAGATCGCAAAAGAATGCCATTCATTAGAAAAACTCGATCTTTCCCATTGCCCCTCGATTTCCAATAAAGGTGTTTCTGCAATCGCTGAATCCTGCCCAAATTTATCCTCTTTAACTATCGAATCTTGCAAAAACATCGGGAACGAAACCCTTCAATCCATTGCCCGACACTGCCCGAATCTTCAATCGATCTCAATCAAAGACTGCCCGCTCGTCGGCGATCAAGGAGTCGCAACTCTGTTATCATCACCATCTTCGATTTTAAAGAAAGTACGACTCCAATCTTTAAACATTACAGACTTCTCACTTGCTGTAATCGGGCATTACGGGAAATCAATCACTAATCTGTCGCTAATCAGCCTTCAAACTGCGAGTCAAAAAGGGTTCTGGGCTATGGGTAACGCAAAAGGTCTTCAATCTTTGATCTCGTTAACTGTGACCTCATGTTATGGGATTACTGATTTGAGCTTGGAATCGATTGCAAATGGGTGTGGTTCGCTTAAACAGATGGTTATTAAGAAGTGTTGTTTTGTGTCTGATAAAGGGTTGATTTCATTGGTGGATTCCGCTGAATCGCTCGAATGTTTACAATTGGAAGAATGTAATCGGATCAGCCAACATGGAGTTTTCGGAGTTCTATCTTGCAATTCAAAATTGAAGTCTTTATCGATCGTAAAATGTATGGGAATCAAAGATTCCGCTGAATCGGGGATGGAATCGGAATCGGAATCAGGGTCAGTCCGATCTTTAACGATCAAAGACTGTATCGGGTTCGGGAACACAAGCTTGGCAATTATTGGAAGATTATGTCCGGACCTAGAAAACATCGAGTTAAGCGGGCTTTGCGGAATCACCGATTCCGGTCTCTTCCCGCTTCTCGAAAACCGGAATACCGGGCTCGTGAAGGTGAATTTAAGCAATTGCGTAAACTTAACCGACAAATTCGTGGTGGATCTTGCTAGGGTTCATGGCGGAACCCTAGAAGTCTTGAATCTTGAAGGCGGTCGGAGGATCACTGATGACAGTCTAGCGGCGATTGCGGAAAACTGTGTGTTGTTGAACGATCTCGATGTTTCAAAGTGCGGAATCACGGATTCCGGAGTATCGTGTTTGTCGGAAGGTGTTCAAATTAATTTACAGATCCTTTCGGTATCGGGTTGCTCCAAGATTACAAACAAGTGTGTGCCGTTCTTGAAAAAATTAGGTCAAACCCTAGTTGGATTGAACATCCAACAATGCAATTCGATCACAAGTAGTGCGGTTGATTCACTTGTCACGAATCTTTGGAGGTGCGATATCCTATTTTAAATAAGAATAAAGATGGAAGGATCGGTTTCGTGTGGTGGGGTTTGTCTTTGGCTCGTCGGTTGGTTTTCTGGTCACGAACAGACAGACTGTATACAGTCTGTCTGTTCGTGACTCTTTTAGTCTCGCTTGAAAGCGAGACTGTTTCAACTGCGGCCATGGTTGGACACACAAAGCTTTTCTTTTCGTGTCTAGTTAGGATAGCGGTTGTGGGGTCGGGGTCGGGTCTTATGGTTCGAGTCGTGGTCCGGTGTGGTTTGAAGGTGAAGGAGGGTGCATCTGGTTTTTGGGCTTTGGTCAATGGCACTAGTGCTATTGAACAACACTTTGTGGTTGTTTTTTTTTTAACCAAAGTCCATGTTTTTTTATGGGATTTTAGGATCCTGTTTTCCCAGATTGATCATCTTGATATTTCAAATTGTACCTCTTTTAGTAGTTTTAATGAAAATGAAGGTTGAAAATGTAAGTTACTGTGTGCTGTTTGTAGTTGTACTGTACAAGTATATAAAGCTTATGTTCTACTAAAATTGTCTTGTTTCTGGTTGTACTGTACAAGTATTTGAAGCTTTTAATGGTCTAAATTTGTTGCATTGTTATTAGTCGTACCTTACAAGTCTTGGAAATTTTATTGCTTTACCGTGGTTGTGCTGGTAACAGTTGTACTGTACATGTCGGTTGTGCATCCGATACTTGTACCGTACAAGTATTGGAAGATATATTTTTCAACAATCGTCGTGCTGTACTGGTTGTACCGTACAAGATTTTGAAGCTTTTACTTTTCTGCATTTGGACAAAGTAGGTGATCAAGTAATTTTATCACTTTTTTTAGAAGTAATTATGTTGCATTCATTAATTGAGTACAAGTTTTTATTTTTATTTTGCTTATTTTGTTCTTGCACAAGAATATAACATGATCAATATTAGGAAATATTGCAAAATTAATGATCACAAATTACGTTTTAAAAGATCACTCTTGTATACGACATAAAACTCCTAAAAGGGCTGCAACGTACATTTTTTTTTTAATAAAGTACAAGTCATTATACATCTAAATAATTTCTATAAAAGCTAAATATACAACTTTTCTTGTATAAAGTACAAGTCATTATAAGGCTTATGTAAGGGTTGTTTTATACTTTTTTTACCTGGTAAAAATTTGTCTAATTTTGTCTGATACTTTTATCACGATTAAAAGTCTATGATTAAGTCGTATAGTTTTTGATGTCTCTTATTAAGTCTAGTAAGAAACTGAGTTAATTAGACATTTACTCGGTTAAATCTGAATCAATCAATAAACCTTTAGATTTTGTTAGAATAATAATTGTGTTACCTAGAAAGTTACGATACATATCACTTAATGTTACTGAAACTTTGATTTAAATTTAATTAATTGTTTTACTTTGTCTTGTCAATATATGTTTATAATATCGTAAGACATATTCCACGTATCATATCATTCACAAAGATGATAATTAATAACAATAATCATAGAATATGTTGTCTTTTTGCTCATATTGCAATTTATTATGATTATGTACAACAAACAATGAAGGTTCAATGGACATGGACCATTTGGTGGGGGCCAAGATTACCAAATCATATGAACAAAGTCCAATTAATATTGATATTAAATTGCCATAAGCTTGACATTGCATCTGGGCATGGTTTATTGTCATGATCTCATATCACATATTTGTACCTACTTTAGAAAGTTGTTTTCAAATTTCAATCTATCCGTATCAGGATTGTCGATAAAGTTTAATAATAACTTCAAAGGTGTGATTCAAGTCATGTAGAGAAAAGAAAAACGATAATGTTTAATTCAATGTAAATCATTATATACGAAGAGTACGAAAGAAGAACATTTGATTAGTTGTGTAGTGATAAGTTTTTACAATTAGTCTCATTCAAATACGGTAGCTGAAATATTAGTTTTTAACATATAAGTTATCTCTAGTAGTTTATTAAAAAATTAGTTTACAAACTATTTTAAAAATATCACCAAACATTAAATTATAATAAATTCAAAAAAATAAAGACGTCAAATATATTTGATATATAATAGATAAAAACACCAACCAAGTAAAATCTGAATTATACTTGATATATTTATAATAGATAAAAACACTAAATTCAATTATATGTGTAGACGTTCTAAAAATAATAATTTGATATACTATTATAATTGAAGGGATATACTATTATAATTGAATGGTTATTCAATTATAATAGTTTATACGCTCAAATACAGTCTAAATGATATTTGATATATTTATAATAGATAAAAAACACCAATCATTCAATTATATATGTAGCCATTCTAAAAAAAAATAATTTAAATACTATATATAGAATTTATAATAATAATAATAATAATAATAATAATAGTAATAATTTATTTATTACTTTTTGTTAAGAGTATGTTTTCCCTTGATTTCAGACGTGTATATATAGACATTCATGGTCTATATGTATATTATTACACGATGGTGTCTTTTCATTAATATGGATATGCAACGATATATTACATGTCTAGATCATATCGAATGTGAATAAGATATGATAAGAGATAAGGGGCTTTGCCTTTTGTCCCAACTCCCACCATGTAGATGAGAAACCAAACTTGTTGATCTGTATGTGTGAGATTGTTGGAAGCATAGTAAACTTGTTACACATAGAGATTCTATCCATGTCTACGCATTTGAGTGCAAATCATGAATCACTTTGAGCTATTGATGATCGAACTATGCATGCCCACCCGTGGATACCGTACATTAATAATAAAATAAAGGGAATACAACTAAAGTTTATTATTGAAAGGAAAAGTTATTTATAAAAAAGAGATTATTATTGAAATGAAAAGTTATTTATAAAAAAGAGATATACAAGTATAAATATCGAGATTATCTAGGGTTAACATAACTAAAAGAGAAAATAAACAGCGCAATATAAAATAAACAAAAATACTTCATTATGATCTTGCCTCAAACTCACACTGCAACAACAATAAATATTAAAAATTTGTTAGAAAATAGTGAAACCGAAAAGCCGATTGAGCCTTCATGAAAATATCACCAACCTGCTAGGCTAATGGAACACATGGTAGTGAGATGGTTCCAAGTTGTAGATAATGCGAGTGAAATGACAATATATCTCGATATATGTTTTCTTAATTTGCTTATGGAAAACAGAATTTTTCATAACCTAAATCGCATTATCGCTTTCCTCTTGTAATCGGGTATGCAAAGAAATAACTGATGGAGAATAGTGCACATAGCTATAACAAGTCCGGTAATATTACTATAAATAACAGTGTTTTTTTGGGTTACATGTAATAACAAAATAAAACAGAATTGAAAAGATATTTATTTGAGGGAATTGTTTTGTTAATTAATTAATAGTTTAATTAATTAATAATAAAAAAACAATATGGAATATTTCAGAATGATTTGAATACCATAGATAATTATAATTATATTTGGTAACTATCTCTAGGGTTTCAAATTACCTCCCTTGTCACATCCCCCAACCGAGGCGGCAGAACACGTCGGGTTGAGCAACTAAGTTTATGGATCACCGTCAATTGGATATATAGTTGTAACGCCCTGTTCCGAATCGATTCCTAATTCGAGGTTGCGGCCCGAAGATTGGTCATCATAACGCTTAGGGCGTTTGAATAGGTGAGATCTAAGTCAATTTGGGTGCAAATGATGTAATTGAAGTGATCCGGGTGTTCGGTTTGTGTTTTGGAGCCTATGGGTAGTTCGGTAAAGTGTCCGTTCGGGCTTTTGTGGAAATTGGATTTTTGTTCAGAAGGTCTTAAGGTTGGTATGGTTTGTTAGAAGTGTAGGTCTTCTCGTTACCTTTCCGTGGATATAAGGATCGTCGGAAACGGACTTATAACGAAAAAGTTATGGCCTTCGGAAGTTTGATGGTTTTAAGGTTTAGCCGGGTACGCAGGACGTACACATAGGGTACGCGGGGCGCGCTAGTGAAAAGGGCAGTACGCGGGGCGTACCTTGGTGTACGTTGGGCGTACTGACCAGGATGGTCGCGGATTCTCCTCGGAGTACGCTGGACGTACCATATGTACGTTGGGCGTACTTCAATCAGACCCAAACCTTATTTTAGGGTCTTGGACTCTATTTAAGCTTCTTATCTCATAACCTAACCCTAATATCTTCAGCCAGCATCCCTCTAAACCCTAGAAATCGACCCTTAGCCCCCATTTGAGTGATTCTTGAGCTTCAAAGTGATTTATGTGTGTTTTTAGTGCTTGAGGAGGAAGAAGGAACTTCTTGAAGAGTCGTTGCTTGACTTGGAGCTTTTGGATCCAGGATTTGAGCACATAGATCTAAATTCTAGAGGTATAAAGTCTCAACCTTGACAACTCTTTCTTGTAGATCAAGCTAGGTGGCACTTTGTTATGATTTTGATCCCTTTGTGGTGGTTCTTATGAGTAGAAGTTACTCCAGAACCTTTGAGCTTCATATTTGGCCTTTGTTGGGGTTATGGAGTCATAAAGTTTTGATCTTGATGAGTATTAACCTTCCATGCATGATTTGGTAGTCTTTTGGTGAAGCTTGGGACTTAGGGTTTTGATTTGGGTCCCATTAAGTCATGCTAAGTCATAAAGTCAGGAACTTTATGACTTAAGAAGTCCCTTTGAATTAGATCTGGAAGTTTGGACTATAGTCTTAAGGTATTAAGAAGTTTTTAATACATTTTGGAGTGATTTTGACCTTTGGAATTCATCTTTGGTGATTGGGCTTCATTAAGCCATGCAAAGGTTTTAAAGCCTTCGACTTTATGGATCAAGTCACTTATATTTAGCTATTCTGAGGTTTTGGATGTCTTGGCTTAAGGTATTAAGACATTCTCTAGGTTGGTTGTGAGCAGGGTCAGTACGCGGGGCCTACCTCCTCGTACGCGAGGCATACTAGGTTTCTTGGTCGTATGCTTAGCGTACTCACTGAGTACGTGTGGCATACTCAGTCAGATGGGATTTTGCAATTGGGGTTCGATTTTGGGCTTTCTTTTTTGGCTTGGGTGTTGGGTTATTAATAGGTCATCTGAGTACAAGTGTTTAGGACTAGGAAAAAAGGTTGGGATTTAGAGTAAGACCCATGTAAGGGGTTTGGGCCTAATTTGGAAAATTAGGTCATATTTGGGCCTTGGTTGATTAGCTGGCCTTTGGGCCTTACAGATTGTGATTTTAGACCTTAGTCTTGGACCAAGCTAGGTTAGGGGTAAAATGGTTTTTTTACCCCAAGTATGGATTTTTGGTTATGGATTGGAACCCAATTGCTGATTGAATGTTGTTTTGACTTTGATAGTTCAGGGATCTGCCAGTCAGCAGCCAAGGATTTTCTGTTTGTTTCGGCAGTGCGATGTGAGTCTTCTCACTATATCAATGGGTCGAAGGCACCAATGCCGGCCCATTACTTGTTATGTGGAATGCTAGTTGTCTCTGTGATGCT